AGTTGAAAGTTTCAAAATAACATCCACTCCAGGGATACACATTCAGGATACGCAGAAGACTGCTGTTTTATTGTAGGCGGTTGTCATATATTGTATTATCCGAGTTGCACAGTGTATAAACTGAAACATTGAGATCAAAAGTGCCGACGCAGAGTGAGCGATCTGATTATTTAGCTGTAAACTGTGTCACAGGGTTCAAAATGGCCGCGCCCTATGTTGGGCGTGTCGGACCTCTCTCTTGCCTCGTATAGTAATCAAAGTATGTGCGTCTGTTACATACAAATTACAATCACGCGTATGTAGGAGACGTGTTAGCAGTTTTGGTTGTACTAAGTCTGTTACATACAAATTGCAGTTCGGCATTTCACGATTTTATGTTGCGTCTGCTACTTACAAATATGCATACCGAGCGGACGCGAAATGAGATTTCAAGTGGGATCAAGAGGAAGATCAATGGAGAGATAAATGTGAAAAAGGGTTTTTGGTTTGGTGGTTTTAATTTAAAATTATTAAAATTTAAGTGTTTGGTTTTTATATAAATAAAAATGTCATAGGTTTATTCGGTCATGTTTCTATTTTAGCACAGCACTACGTATGTTTAGGAAACATTTTTTTCTATCTTCGGGTGCAGTCAAAATTAAATAAAACTTGAGGACGATTACAAACAGTTTAAAAACATTTTAAAACATTTTTTGTTAAATAACAGAAACCCCATTTTTCTGTTTCAGCGTGTTAAGGTGTATTCGAATACATATCTATCATTTCCTTTTTATTCTATATTAATGATTGGAAAGATTCGTATATCCCACCCTACTTTATGACGTCATGCCTTGATTATGTGCGATGCATAAAACATCGGAATTTAAGTGATTTTAAGCGGGAACATTGTTCGTTTCACGGATCTGTGGACGTGTTGACCTCTTTTTAGTTACAGGCTTTCGCAAAAATATCTCGCTCTCTCGCGATTACCCAGATTAGTGTACTACAGAGGCGCAATTAGCCAGAGCGCAGTGAAGTACCAAAAAATAGACAATAACACGTATGAAAACAATAAAATTATTAAAATTGGATTTATAATTTTTTATTTATTTTAAAATGTGTTTTTATGAAATGTTAGTGGGTGCTCACTACCTAAATGAACCGATGGAGAAATCGCCCCCGATCGTGATAAAAATCTAGTAAACCTTTGAAATATACCTTATATAAATACACTTTTTAACTAATTTTGTACAATCGTTCACTGTTTTAGCTTCTAGTGAACTTTGCAATATAGGAGGTACCTTGTTATAATCTTTCCTGCAATCGCTTAGTGTTTTAGATTCCATTAAACCTTTGGGATATTCCTTTTATACCCTCTATACTTACGTTTCTTCAATTATTCTGTATTTTATAGGTATCGCACATGTGTAATTGCGTTACTTTGTGATATATCTATATTATTAATACCTACCTCTACTTTTGTGATATTGATACTTGATTTCAAAGGCATTCTAATATTAAAAGTATACACTTTTTTATTTTGCTTCATTGAGATTTTACTATATCCTCAATATACTATTTTATATAAACAACAATTTAGTGTGTCCAAGTATTTATTTGACAAGCAAAAGAAATTATGAAAAATTACTTTTTTTCTAATTTAAAATAAATATTTTACAGGTATAGTTAAGCCCATCTATGGACACATTGTATAATGCTGTAGAAATAACTCACATTATAACATCTATAAAACGTTTCCGAACAACCTTCTGGGAAAAGTACTATAAAACTGCTAGTATGATATTTTTTGCACTTCAATTTGTAACCTCTGTGAGATGTGCTATAAAAGTCTTGCCATTGCGGACATTTAGTCTATGGAATTGGTACTTTTTGCCTTACATCAAATGAGATAGTTCTGATTTTTTATATGTTGGTAGTGATGAGATGGTAATGACAAATCCAAATTTTTCACCTCAAAAGCCCTTCAGATCATTGTTAAATACTAAAAAATTATTTAAATTTTAGAACTTTTTCAGTTTTTGTCAATTTTTACCACCAAGGACTTGTGTTACAGCAAAAGTTACAAAGCACACTTTTTAAGTAGACTAAAGTTTCAATGAAATGAGAATAATTTGGTTTTAGTAGGCTAAATGATTTATAAGATATGGCTATTTAAAAGTTTGCAAAATTAAAAAAAAAAGAGAGTATTACATTATTTTTTAGTTTTTGGCAATTTTTACCCCTAAAGAGTGGGTTTATGGGAGAAATTATTAAAGTCCACTAAATTCCTAACAAAATGAGATCAAGTTAACTTACACCTGATAGTTCCTGAGATACAGCTGCTCAAAATTGTTGAGGTAAGTAAACAAATATGTACTAGAAGGATTTGCAAAATGAAGTAGTGAAATAAGCATTATAATTTATTAAAATAAACATTTTATTAATTAAAACAATAATACGAAAAATGTTATGAAACGCCTCATTATATTTTATGTACAGCACAGTTAGGGAAATAATTATTACTCGCATTTTTTTGTATATTCGACCTCTAAATCCACAGCACACCTTTTGGGGGCAGCTTGCTGAGGTAGAATTTATTCATCGAACTGCTCAGGAATGTCAAAATTATCATTTGATAGTGTGTCATCAATGAATGGTTCTGGCAAGATTGGCCAGTGCAGTAGCCGCAAACAGCCAAGCATTTCAGTACTGCTTTCTTGCAACCACAACGGCTGATAAAACCTTTTTTGCAGTTACAAAAAATCATATTTAGCAGAGCTTCAAGAGGTAGTGGTGCCATCATCTGTTGAGGAACGTGGCCTTGTGTACATTTCCCAGCCACTTCTGTACCTGAAACAAAATCAACCACAAAATAAGGAACCATATATAACGAATGTGGTCTGAAGCATAAAGAAATACAAGCAAAAACCAATTCTCACCTAGTGGTATATTCGCAGAGAGTGAAATTTTGCGGCATCCTCGATTGGAAGCAATCTGGAGAGGTTCATGTTGTGCTTAACTGCCGCCCTAGTGAACAACTGGAATCGAAAATCATTACGATTTTGCGATTCTTAGTTGCCTCCATAAAGTGGAATGAGAAAGGTCTCTCCTGCGTCGGCAACTTGCTCAGGTGTGGCATTGGAGCTTAAGAAAACCTCTGCGTTTTGTTCGAAGCATGACTGTTTTTTTATTGTCGATAGGAATTTTATTTTTCCTTGACCAAAAGGTATTGATTTTGTGAAGGAACAGTGCTATTCTGGGTTGTGATAATTGCGTAAGGGAATTTGTCGAATAGGTGGCATCTAGGTATTTTTCTTTCCCATATTTTACAAATAAAATATTGTTATTTGGTCTATTCGTTGGAAGGATGTAGTCTCCTCCATCTAGTGACAAACCATAAAGTAAGACCAACAAATTTATATCCTCGCTGACGAGCTTCACTACTTAGTAGAAAGAGGATATGGAAATGGCTGTGGTTTTTTTTTTTTTTTAGTTTTACACCCTTCGGATCTCCCGTGCTACATCCTAATCCGTCTATAGCCTGGCGGCACTGCAGCCTGCGGCTTATTGTACCACCATTTCAAGGTCCTACTACTTTCTCATTCAACAATTCACTCCCTGATTCATCGTCATTCATTCCACGTCGTCGGTGGTTAACCGCTAGTCGGATGAGTCCCATAGTGACACGGCCCATGTGGAACCTCCCAGCGGTCACCCATCCACGACGTGACCGGAGAATCACTGCCTAACTGTTGCGAGTATGTGGATGCACACTAAGCTCGCAGCTAGCCTCTCCGGAATGTCTGTGGTTACTATTAACCTATCAGCATCATCCTCTGCCTCTAATGTTAGAATTTTGCTTTTCGCACCCACGGGGTACTGGCATTAGCATGTTAGTTTGAACATCAAATCGGTGACACGGGTTTTTGTTGTATTGTTTCTTCCGTGATATTAGTTACAATATTTAATGTGTTATGTTACACATAAAAGTAAAAACAAAATACACTTTCAGTAGAAATCTACCAGACAACTAAAAAATTGTAATAGTTTCGTTTTTTTTTTTGAAATTTTGCAAACTATCTGGCCTACCAAAACCAAATTACATAATTGTTCACTTACCTCAACAACTTTGAACAGATGTGTCTCAGGAACTATAAGGTGTAAGTTGACATAATTGGTCTCATTTGGTTGGGAATTTGGTGGACTTTAATAACTGAAAAACGTAATTTTTCCAATAAACCCCCTACTTACGGAAATTAAAAAAACTGTAATACTTATTTTTTGAAATTTTGCAAACTTTTAAATAGCCGTATCTTCAAAACTGTTTGACCTACCAAAACCAAATTATTCGCATTTAGTTACAAATTTAGTCTGTCCCAGTAACTTTTGCCGTAACGTAGGTCCTTGTTGGTAAAAATTGGCAAAAACGGAAAAAACTCCTAAATTTCAATGCATTTTCAAGTATTTAACTGTGATCCGAAGGGCTTTAGAGGTGGAAAACTTGGATTTGTCATAAACCATTTCATCACTACCAATTCATAAAAAAATCAGAACTACCTCATTTAATGTAAGGCAACACTTGTTTTTTGGTACGATTTCCATGTACTAATTTGGCGGTTACATGAAGAAGCCTCAACACACGACCGTTTTTATGTTTGTCAGTGCATCCTAAATTTCGTCTGTCACCTGTAATTATTGTTAACTATCAACATTTTACTAAGGTCATATTTGGCCTGTCGTCATATTTTGATACCAGGATTCTATCATTTCTGTACAATTCATTATTCACCCTGTATACAGAGTTTTATTATTTAGAACTTATGCTTTATGATTTTACCAATAAATTTGTGTAAAGGTGGATAATAAATTTTAGTTATTTTATTTTTATTTAACAATATTTTTTCAATTAGGCATATCTACTGTATTCATTTCGTATTTGATACAAATATATAATGGCAAATATTCAGACCGCATCACCCTCGTAGTTTCCAGAGATCACGATTCTGCATGCAAATAAAACATGGCGAAACGTATCCTGCTGTCGGTATATTTTGCACAGGATCGCTATTCCTTACAGAAAATAACTCTATTATTATAAATATATCCGTGAATCCTTAACAAAGAGACTATGTAAGCATTCAAGAATGAAGTGCAGGGAAGTTTTAGACTTGGAATTACTGTTATTGGGGATAATAGCAATTGCTGGTAAGTCTTGTCAGTATTTTATAACATAACCTAACCTATAAAACGTTTAATGTAATAGGTAATAACTTTATTCACCAAACATAATATTAATAAATGTAGAATAGGTAAGTGTAAAATACAAAATACAAAATACAAATACAAAATAGGTAGTATAAATAAATGTTGTGAAGCATAAATTCATATAAGACTAATAATTTAATACATAAAAGTTCGAATACTTACTCATATTAAAAAAAAAAATATACATTTAAAAGTGTTTACGAATAACTAAAACAGATTTGATTAACTAATTAGACATTCCAAACAAAATGGTTATCCGTGGGTTATGATTAGGCAACCCTGTGTGCCTGGTGATTTGGCAGGGTCAATGTTATGAATATTTATAGAGGTTAATCATCCATGTATTTCAAAATATTCATAGGTTTATGCCTTGATGTAAAAATGCAGGTAATTATTTTTTTTACTATACCTACTCAAAAGCTAAACATTGATTTTAAAATACATTTTTGCTAACCAGATTCTGATTAATAAACACTTGTGACCTGCGACTATATAACTATATCTATATCATTGACTCTATCAAAGCCTTTAAGATAAAATAAAGAGGAGTTGCTTTGACGATACCATGAAGGTATAATACTAATATAGATGCCATGAGGCAACTGTTTTCCATAATATACGTGTTATTAAAAATTACCCCACTGGGCGTGGCTTAAATAGTGGTCTAAGCTGGGACGTATTTAGTTCTAATTAAAGGCGCTTGTGTAGATTTACAACTTTTAAATGAGTTATATATCTAAGATTTGTTTTAACATGTCCAATTCAAAATTAATCCAGTTTATTGCGCAATTGTGACTTCTACATTATTTGTTGACCCTTTTGCGACTGAATTAGATTAGATAAATGTTGCTAAGATCACACAAGACATGACTTGTTCTATATTCACTATCTCTAGGTTTAGTCAGATACGTTAGTTAGATATTATTATATTTATCAACTGTGCTGCATGATATACGGAAAACATTACCGGTGTGAAGTTAGCAGCCACTTTCCAGCAGCCCGTTTACCAGAAACACCCGAGTTACCAGTAGCGTCGAAATGTATTTTTCTGTGAAGTTAACGGTGTATTGAAACAAAATTACTACTAAATTTTTAACAAACAAATAAAAAGTGTTTAGAGAAAGGATTAAGGGGTAAACTGAAATAAAATTCCAATAAAAAATTCATTAAAAAATAAATTTTTCTGTAAAGATAACATAATATTGAAATAAAAATAGTGTCAATTTGTTAAAAACTATAAAATACGACCTAAAAAAAATTAACAAAATCACTTAGGAAGGGGATACCCCCTCATCCCCTTCCTAAGTGATTTTGTTAATTTAAATTAAATAAAATTCCATTAAAAATCTATTTAAAAATTAATTTGCCTAAGAAGACAATCTAGTATTGAAATAAAGTTAGTGCCAAATTGTTAGAAAATATAATATACAAACTAAAAAAAATTGGACGCTGAAACAAAGCTTAAGTTTAAAATTTGGTGTTTTTCTATGTATCGGTTCATGATTTATGCGTTATACACACACACACACACACACACACACACACACACACACACACACACACACACACACACACACACACACACACACACACACACACACACACACACACACACACACACACACACACACACACACACACACACACACACACACACACACACACACACACACACACACACACACACACACACACACACACACACACACACACACACACACACACACACACACACACACACACACACACACACACACACACACACACACACACACACACACACACACACACACACACACACACACACACACACACACACACACACACACACACACACACACACACACACACACACACACACACACACACACACACACACACACACACACACACACACACACACACACACACACACACACACACACACACACACACACACACACACACACACACACACACACACACACACACACACACACACACACACACACACACACACACACACACACACACACACACACACACACACACACACACACACACACACACACACACACACACACACACACACACACACACACACACACACACACACACACACACACACACACACACACACACACACACACACACACACACACACACACACACACACACACACACACACACACACACACACACACACACACACACACACACACACACACACACACACACACACACACACACACACACACACACACACACACACACACACACACACACACACACACACACACACACACACACACACACACACACACACACACACACACACACACACACACACACACACACACACACACACACACACACACACACACACACACACACACACACACACACACACACACACACACACACACACACACACACACACACACACACACACACACACACACACACACACACACACACACACACACACACACACACACACACACACACACACACACACACACACACACACACACACACACACACACACACACACACACACACACACACACACACACACACACACACACACACACACACACACACACACACACACACACACACACACACACACACACACACACACACACACACACACACACACACACACACACACACACACACACACACACACACACACACACACACACACACACACACACACACACACACACACACACACACACACACACATCGCGAAAATAGTCAAAACGGATTCAGGGGACCTCAAAACGTAAAAATCCGTCGAAAACTCGAGGTCGAGTAAGTTATTTAAGTTTTACTTTAAAGTTAAATTTAGTTTTTTAAATTTTATTATGGTTCATTATATAATTATTTAAATTTTATTGTAAATACAATTTATGCTACTAACTAAACAGTAATTTAATGTCGGAACAGCATTCTTCTTTAATCTGATCCTAAACTCAATTTTATCTGAAACACCACATAATATTTAGTCTTGGCCTGAAATGGTATTTTTCCACAAATTCATATAAAATTTTAGTAAATCGTAATAATGCAAGAAATTAGGAATTATGAAAAAAATACTAAAACCAGTGGCGACTCGTGGTAATTCAAAATGAGTGTTAACTTTTTCCAATAATTTGTAAGTTCAAAACTTTGTACAAATATAGTTAATATTATCTATATAATACTGTTTTCAATCACTACAACTATTAATAAATGAATAAATGAATATTTTAGTTATTGTAATATTTGTTTTATTTTTAATACGTTGAAAACCATCTATTAACATTATTAGTTAGTCAACTGACTTTTCTTCATATTTTGAGATTATTTTAAAATATACAATATGTCCCCCTAAGTTGGAATCATATGGAAAACTTTTTTATTAATAATTTTAGGAAAAAAAGTAGTTATTCTTCATAAACAGTTCTGCATTATCTAAAACCTAGAATACAGTCTTAAAATATCAAATTTTTCCAGAGGTATACGAGGTTTGTCAAAAAATATGAATTTTGCTCAAGAGTATAGTACGTTTATTATTGACAATATCGAAAATTTTCATTAAGAAAATTGCTTAATTCTTCACAAACATCAAGAAAATGAGAGCGTATCATGTGCTAACGTAATTTATAACGTTTATAACGTTTATAAAAAATAAGAAAGACTCTTTTTTTAGATAAATCGATGTAACTGCATATTTAAATGTAATTTTCAATTCTAATCAACTTAATGAAAATTTTCGATTTTGTCAAAAATAAACGTACTTTACTCCTGAGCAAAATTCATATTTTTTGACAAACCTTGTATACCACTGAAAAAATTTGATATTTGATGACTGTATTCTAGATTTTAGATAATGCAAAACTATGTAGAAAGCTTGACATTGATTTTTGTGGAAAAAATTCAGTACTTTGGAGGTAAACTGCGCTGTCACCCTAGTCAGCTTTTTAGTAGAACAGACTGAATGTTGGTTGGACACTTTTCGTGTTCCATATTTACATATAATAATTATATTTCGACAAGAAATGCAGTTAGCCTCCAATTATTGTCACAATATGTATTGTTTAATAATAATCTAACTATTAAAACTTTTTTATTAATATACATGAATTGTTGATTTTTGTAACATATTTCTATGTTCTGATAACAAATTTTCTATGACATAGTGTCATATACCTCCAACATGCCTTTATAAATAGTACGATTAACGTGAGAGTTAAAAAGTGTTGTTTAACGTTTAACTTGTAAGTTCATTAAACATTGAACATAGTTTTTACCTTTTTTTTAAGTCAACTTATTTTGTGACATCACTAATCACTATACATGGTATAGAATACCCCTGAAAAGGTCTCGATAGGCCGATTTTAAAAATTTAACCTTTATAAAACTGCACTATGTCGACATAGTTTACCTCTCAGGTAGATATCGGTAAATATTTAATTTAGTCTTCATGATATAGACATAACTATTAAGTTTCTTGAATTAATTTAGGCCAGTGCAATATTTATTTTTTATATCGTCTTTAAAAAAAAATTTAATGCAAGTTTATAAAATCCTTAGTGCTATATCAGTCTGACACTGTTTATCAGTACCTCTAGCATTTATAGATAGGGCATTTTCTGTAACTTCAAATTCATTAGGGACAACCTACAAAACAAACAATTATTCATATAAATTGTACTATGGTCAATAAATTATTCTTGTTTAAGGGTCGATCTTTTTACCTCTGAGTAAAGTTATATGTAGGTTTACTTGACAGATTAACAAACAATAGCCTTATAGTTTAATCAGCAAGTAATTACTTTCAAGTTTACTCAGAGGTGAAAAGACTGGCCCTTATTAAAATATATATTAAAATTGTCGTAATTTTTTGAAACTGTTTGTGTTTTGTTGGAAACAAACATTTTTTCTCATTGAATAGTTTTGTACAAAACAAA